AATCCACACATAAAAAGAAATCACAACATTCAAATCCATAAATAGTGATTATGTGGAATTAAGTGCAATAACACAGGAAAAAAGTATTGAACACACCATGGGAAAGCTGTATAGTTTGGCAAGGAAAGGCACCATACCATCTCAAAGCTGAAAGTAATTAGTCTTTGTACTTCCTATAAGTGCAAACCAACATCAGCTGTGTTAATGCTAATTGATGGCCCTATAAACAGGTTGTTTTTTCACCAAGTAGTCAAACAAGACACATCTCATGATGGGTAAAAGCAAGGAGCTCTCTCAAGACCTTCGCAACCTGATTGTTGCTCAGCATCACAATGGAACTGGTTACAGACTTATCTCAAAGCATCTGAGTATTCCAGTAAGCACCGTTGGGGCCATTATCCGCAAGTGGAAGAAGCATCACCTTATCATCAACAGGCCGCGCACAGGAGCTCCTCGCAAGATTTCTGATCAGGGAGTCAGAAAGATGGTCAGAAGAGTTCTCAAAGAGCCAAGGACCACCCGGAAAGCGCTCCAGAAAGACATGGAGGCAGCAGGTACAAGTGTTACAGAGAAAACGATAGGCAATGCACTCCACCGCCATGGCCTCTATGGACGCTCAGCCCGCAAGACTCCATTCCTCAAAAAAAGGCATGTTGAAGCTCGTTTAAAGTTTGCTAAACAGCATCTGGATAAGCCTGTGGAATACTGGGAGAATGTTGTCTGGTCAGACGAGACCAAAATTGAACTTTTTGGCTGTCATACTACACACCATGTTTGGAGGAGAAATGGCACTGCACATCACCCAAATAACACTATACCAACAGTGAAGTTTGGTGGTGGAAACATCATGGCATGGGGTTGTTTCTCATCTCGTGGTACTGGCAGACTTCATATAATTGAAGGAGCAATGAATGGAAACATCTATCGGCAAATTCTTGAGATGAACCTGCTGCCATCCACCAGGATGATGAAGATGAGACATGGCTGGACCTTTCAACAGGACAACGATCCGAAGCACACGGCAAAGTTGACTCTCGAATGGTTTAAAAAAAAGAAAATCAATGTGTTAGAATGGCCCAGTCAATCACCTGACTTAAATCCGATTGAACATTTGTGGAAAGAACTAAAGAAAAGGGTTCACCAGAGGGCACCAAAGAATATTCAAGATTTAAAGACAATCTGTACGGAGGAATGGGCAAAAATCACACCTGAGCAGTGTGGGCGATTAGTTAATACATACAAGAAGCGTCTGGAAGCTGTCATTGCAAACAAAGGCTTCTCCACAAAGTATTAAACGAGTCTCAGATAGTGTGTTCAATACTTTTTTCCTGTGTTATTGCACTTAATTCCACATATTCATTATATATGGACTTGAATGTTGTGATTTCTTTTAATGTGTGGATTATTTGAGTTAATACCAGTGTCTGGAAGAAATGTCACATGAATTGCATCTTTGGAAATAAATGTAATGACAAAAAAGTCCTTTTTATCCATATGGGCCACAAACTCGTCGAACGGTCCCGGTGGTGTGATGGTGACTATGTGGTCCATGTTGAATGTTTGTAGCTTGCCGCTAGCCTGTTAGCATACGCCGACTTGCTCGTTCCTCTTCTCCACAGCGCCTGTTCTCTTATCCTTATCGGTAAGCTGCTCCGACTAGTTGTCTGTGCCACTAGACTCTGTCTGTCATGGATTCTACATTTCTGACACCATGTATTGTTCCTCTTTACTTAGTATTCAAGGACACAACCATCAGGATACTGCAAGACAACGTTTTATTCTTCTCCCTTTTTAACTATCACCACCTTTTATACAGTGCACCACCCCTGGTGTAAACCACCATTACAATTTCTATAGGGGGCGCTGTTGTAGAACTTCATACTGCCCAGGGTGTACTAAGGGACAAGCAGAAGCACATGAGTGTAAATAGCACTGCAGGAGGTCGTTGGTTTACCATGCCCTCGACTACAGCGTTTCAGCATTTTCATCTCCCATAAATGTATTAAGAAAGTCTTGTTCCATCATTTCAGCATACAGTGCTAAAACAAATTTTGCTCGGGAACTGGTCGGCGAGTGGAGTGGACAAATAAGTTGTCAAGCGCCGCTATACGCAGAAGGAAAGGAAATAGTGATGGGAAGACCGACTCTTTTTACTGATTCGGATCTTTGACTCTCGAACAGTGAAATGAACGAGTCGTGAACGAATCTTGAACTAATCATTTCATTCGTTTTACAGCAGGTGGCGCTTTAGCCCTATTGTGGGCGTTGTAAAGAAGGCTGCGGTTCAAGTACACAAAATGCCATACGCAATTACAACCATGTGAAAACCTAAGAAAGAAAAACACACCACAATGTGAAGATGAATGAGAGCAAAAGAGACCCGAGCTCTCTGTCACGTGACAAATGAAACAAATCTGCGAGAACGTAGCGAAAGATTAGTTCACAGAGAATGATTCGTTCACGGCGAAAGATTAGTTCACAGCGAAAGATTCGTTCGTAGTGAAAGATTAGTTCACGGTGAAAGATTAGTTCACAGTGAGTGATTTGTGAGTGATTCGTGAGTTCAATATGAACAAATCTTTCATATGACTTGGGAGTCACGAGTCACGAATCTTTAAAAAATTTCATCAAAGACCCCCTAGATTTTAGTCTGGTTCTACCAGAAATTTAAAATATTTTTGGTCTTTCCACTAGCACCAACTTTCTTTCTCATGGTAGTGAGTTTCTCTTCCTCTTCACTAGAGTGTTGATCCTTTAAACCCTCTTGGTAAACAATTAATGCTTTATATGCTGTAATTTGGTGCTATCAATCAAAATGAAATTGTTGAAATACAACGTCACAAACACCAAATCTGGGGGGCATAGCTCTTGAGGACTTGTAGGACACACTATTGATCAAAATGTAGCATCTGTAAACTGATACGAGAAGACGCTGAACTGGCAAAACATCCATATGTCAATATTAATATAAGAAGCCTCTCCTTCTGAGTCGAGCAGCAAAGAGGGACAAGTAATGACTGTTTATTTGCCAGCACTTGTTGCACATGAGTGTAGGTGGTGTGGTGTGTAATTAAGTGTGAAATCAAGTGACAGACACGGAGACATTGTTGTTAACATGGAAGGAAGTCAATCGCAGCTCAATCTGCATGCAGCTGAGGTAATAAATTATTAACAAAAAAAAAAAAAACACAACACAACTCTAATAATCTGCCATCTTTATTTTTTTATATTAATTAAGGAAACTGTGGTTTAACTAATAATACACTATATTACCAAAAGTATTCGCTCACCTGCCTTGACTCATACTATGAACTGAAGTGCCATCCCATTCCTAACCCAGAGTTCAATATGATGTCGGTCCTTTTGCAGCTATTACAGTTTCAACTCTTCTGGGAAGACTGTCCACAAGGTTGAGGAGAGTGTTTATAGGAATTTTTGACCATTCTTCCAAAAGCGCATTGGTGAGGTCACACACTGATGTTGGTCGAGAAGGCCTGGCTCTCAGTCTCCGCTCTAATTCATCCCAAAGGTGTTCTATCGGGTTCAGGTCAGGACTCTGTGCAGGCCAGTCAAGTTCATCCACACCAGACTCTGTCATCCATGTCTTTATGGACCTTGCTTTGTGCACTGGTGCACAGTCATGTTGGAAGAGGAAGGGGCCCGCTCCAAACTGTTCCCACAAGGTTGGGAGCATGGAATTGTCCAAAATGTTTTGGTATCCTGAAGCATTCAAAGTTCCTTTCACTGGAACTAAGGGGCCAAGCCCAGCTCCTGAAAAACAACCCCACACCATAATTCCTCCTCCACCAAATTTCACAGTCGGCACAATGCAGTCTGAAATGTACCGTTCTCCTGGCAACCTCCAAACCCAGACTCGTCCATCAGATTGCCAGATGGAAAAGCGTGATTCATCACTCCAGAGAACGTGTCTCCACTGCTCTAGAGGCCAGTGGCGGCGTGCTTTACACCATTGCATCCGACGCTTTGCATTGCACTTGGTGATGCGTGGCTTGGCTGCAACTGCTCGGCCATGGAAACCCATTCCATGAAGCTCTCTGCGTACTGTACTTGGGCTAATCTGAAGGTCACATGAAGTTTGTAGCTTTGTAGCAATTGACTGTGCAGAAAGTCGGTGACCTCTTTGCACTTTATACACCTGTGGCCAGGCCAAGGGATTAGGACACCTGATTCTGATCATTTGAATGGGTGAGCGAATACTTTTGGTAATATAGTGTATGTCTTTAATTTCAACACAGGTCAAAATCTTTAAGCTTTCAGTCTGCTAAGTTTTGAGAAGGCAATTTTCTGATAAGGGAAGAAGAAGAGAAAATAGGGATGTTTTTCATATTCTTCACTGGTTTTAAAACATGACCATTTGCAGTGTGTTATCTGATGAAGTCAGGACAAATTAAGTTCTGTACTTTGTTCTGGTCTGTGAAGGTTTCTTTTTAATTTACCCTTTTAAGTTGTTCTACAAGGTTTGGACTGTGAAATATGACATATAATAACTAGCTGTAGAGAGAAACATCATTTTTACTAGCATTGCAGCTTCTGTTTCACAGACATGGGACTCATTCTGCCTGCTTTTATTGTTTTCTTTGCATTTAATCAAAGCAGCAGGTAAAGGCTTATACACTTTCACTGTGCAATGTTCAATGTGGTAAAATGAGATATTGGCTGGGAATTAGGGTAGTGCCTACTTAACAGATTGGAAGGAAACGCAGCTTTGTAGACACTTCTTTTTTTAAATTAAGAAGTGCAATGAGGCAGATTAACTCTGCGGAACACAAGGGGGACACAGCATCATAAAATACAATGGCACAAACTGCATGATATACTACAGTATATCTGTGACAAAGGCAGGAATGGAAGCATATACATCATCTACTGTGCCCGACCCTTCGACACATATGTATGACTACAGACCGTGTGCAACATATATTTAGTCTATTATCGAACAAGCAGTCACATTCGCGTTGACAAAAGCCATAAAGACTCACAGGTTCCTGAGATTCTTGTAGTAGTGCAGGTCTTTGTCGTTGATTGAGGAGAAGCTGCTCTGGTTAGCGATGTAGCTGTCAGGAGATACAAATGTGTGTCACAAGATTCATTTGTTAACAGTTGCAGGGAAAAAAACAGAAACATTTCAGTGAGACAAAGGTTCACAATAAGGCAATTTAATTACAATTCATCATTAAAATTGAGCTCTTGACAAACAGGCGCAGATTGACAGGACAAAGGATGAGCAGAGGATTGTTTTTCTCATGATGAAGACAAACACAGGCTTTGAGTCTTCTCCTCTGCCCGAGAGAAAGCACTTGACTGGTCAGGTTTTAAGGGGGGCCCCTCCTTCTTTCCCCTGTAAACAGGTTCTGAAATGTAATACCTGTACTTTTTCAAATAGCACAGCTCTGGCATCAGATGTCTGAATATTTTGGGATAAATAAAGCCATCACGTGGAACTGAGGAGAACCTTTCCTCTTGAAGGGTCATGTTGAAACATCAACAAACAACAACAGCCACAGCAGATCTGATTGTCCTGCAGAAACCCCGTTTCCTCATGTTTATACTCTCGACTCTTACACCAAAGACTTAAATAATGTATTTTTTATTTGGTGACCCACATCGAAAACTATTGTTAGTGAGTATAATTCAAAGATTTCCAAGATCATTACAAGGCTATTGTAGTGACAGGTCAATGCGATGCACTGGGTGAGAACATTGTGTAATTTAGACCCAAATAGTGACACATTAAATCATTAAAGACACAAAGTTGCCAAATGAGGATTGAAGAGAGGCAACAAACCTCAAAAAACCTGTGGTAAAAATAGCATCCTGCATTTGCCTTAGGCTCTAAGATGCAGTGCCACAGCACAGCACAGACCTCTGCTATCACTTTCTAATAAAACCAAAAGGCCTGAAATTTTTTTTTAATGTATTGATTTATTCCCTGCAAAAGCTCAATAAGTCGACGCAGGATGTCAGCATTGTTCCGCAGCTTTAACACTATTGGTTGATAAAACTCATTCTCTGAAAATCAGCATTAAAACACTTTCAAACAGAAGAATGTACTTACACTGGAGAACAACTAATAAAAATGACACATTTTAAGCAACTGCCTTGAAGGTCAGGTGACACTGCTGAATAATAATAGCTCATCTCAGAACTCAAACTATGCACTTACTGCCGAAGTCTAAACAAGAGCTATGGTACAAAACGTTAGTCATATGGTCTGAGATACTTCACTGATAAACATTTTTGTAGTATCCATAAACTATTTCTCTGTGTTGTTTCACCTGCGTCCATTTCTATCAAACGACATTAGATTTAAACGTCCATTATCCGTCATTTTTTTTGTTGTCTGTCGCCAAATGCCTCTGCAACCAGGTTGCTCTCCATTACAGTGCACTTATTTTGTTCATGATTTATTACAGGTGATAATTTTAAGGATGCATTATTGTGCTGTATTTGGAGAGACCTTTATTCATTTACAAAGCTGTGCTCCATAAACTGCCTGTGCAGATGCTGTCATCCATATATCATGGTACTGGACCAAACAGATAGAACCAATCTCCGGGAACATTCTGTGCAGGATTCATCTACAATGCGTCTCATAGATGGAAAATGGTTTGGAGAGAATTTTCGTTTAGAATGTTATAATCTGTAAAAGTAAAAAATATATAGAGAATTTTATTTTGCTTATAGGAGGTGATTTTAATAAAGATCTGCTTATTTCACTGTCCATTATGTGAGTCCGGTGTTTTAACCCATTATGGTACCATGTGATCCTCAGGCAATAAACCATGTTCATCCTATCATATCTCCATGGTGCAAGCCTTTAAATGATGCAATACTTTAACCACAGAGAAGTTAATACATGCTTCAATGTTTCATATCTGTAGACTTTTCCAAAGGAAGCAGATTCTCTTTATTTTCACAAAATGGGTGTGAAAAAAAAAACTGTCTACTAGGTAAGAATACATTTACACTTATAGATTAGTAACCCACACTGCTTATAGTAGCAATGAAGAATTGCTGACCAAACAAAAACAAATGTTTATTTCAATTTGTTGTTCAACAATAGTACAATTGTTTATACAGGCAAAATTTAGACACAAAGGCATTTAGTAGCTACTTTTATAATGTTTTTAAAGTTAGAATGTCACAAATTATTAGTTTTACATGTTTTTGCAATAAATTATGTGTGCGTTTTACACATCATTTATTGCAAAAACATGTAAAACTAATATGCACTATATGGTACATTAATGCCTGCAGGAAACAGTGCTTCTGTCACGATGACAGTCGGGACTGTCATTTCCTGTGTTTTCCTGTGTTTTCTTGTGTTGTGTACTCTCTCTCTGTGTAGGGGGCGTGGCACATCTCTCTGACTCTGCCGGACTAATCGCCGTGGCACCCCTGCCGTTCCTCAGCACCTGCCACCAATCAGCCTATCAGTCCGACAGCATAAGTGCCCTGGCATTCCTCCCACTAGTCGTCAGATCGTCTGTTCTGCTGCAGTGGAGACGAACACTGATTTCGATTTGACTATAATTCTTGTGATTACTTTGGAAGTGCGCTTGAAAAATAAATCCTTGTGTTTCTCCTTACGTTGTCTGAGCCTGCATTTGGGTCATCTCAAGGTTAAACATGACAGCTTCAAATAAAAAAAAACAATAGTTTTTTATTATTTAGTCTTTTGAAGACATAAAACACAAATATATTTTATTTACTAAACTAACATTTCTACAAACTTTGAGATTATTTTGTAGCCTTTATTTTATTCTTCTTATTTATTTATTTTTACACTTTCAACTGTCTGCCTTTTTGAACAGATTCCTCGGTGTTTAAATAAAGGATAGTCTAATCTTTTTTTTTAAACCCAAAAGAAGGTGGGAGAGAGTTACCAACCCAAAAATATAGTTGTAATTTGTGACGTTTTCTCCGCGTCATTCCACGCCTCACCCAATTAACAGCAGACATATGGAAGAATAGCCTGTCTCTTTTGGCAAGGTCGTCGGACGATCCGTCGCACTGTCACCACTTGTATTTGCCTGCATTAGACGAGCAGTCAGCCCGTGCGAATGAGTGCTTTTCAGCCCACTGTTACCTCATTTCAACCCCATTCAAGGCCACGGATAAAGACTGTTTATTCTTGAAAGAAAGTCTTTATCAGCAGGACTGTTTATCTGTGCCAAGAATCACAACTGCTGCGGCAAATTAACTATTTCAATCTCCCGTTTAATTGCACCCAGATACAGGCTTCACTTTCTGTTCATTTTTAGGCCAAATTACGTTTAACGGAAAAAGTCAGAGAAAAAACTGGGGGTTTTGAAGGTACCTTGAATGGTCTTTCCCTCACACTTCACACAGACAATCTGAAGTTTTGACATTGCTTTTCTCCTATTCCCCTGCTTCATTTCAATAAAAGCCATCATGGTAAGTGTCTGGGCTAATATTTGGATAGTCCCGTCTGCACGGTCACATCATCCACATCCAAGGCACGGTTGCGCACACAAACACCGAGAATCAACTGACCTCTCCTCTAAATGGGCTGTTTCCTGCCTGCTGCTGAATGACTGTGAATGACTCTTGCGACGGTCGCTGGCCCAATTCATTATTGCCATTTAAAATGATCACAGTCGTCAATTTTGCTTGACTTCGTGTATCAAATTAGATTCAGAGGGAGAGATAAAAAGGACGGTTCGCGGGTTCCGATTTATGAATGATGGGAATGCAGCCACCTTTTTGTGAATGTGGACATTTCAAGATGGATCCCCAAAATCTGCAATGCATCTATAGACACTCACATGTCGGTGATGTTCTCCATCTCTGCCTCACTCTGCAGCACCGGGAAGGCAGTGATGCCCCGCTCCGGATCCACGCAGGAGATCCTGGTGCTGCTGCAGGAACAGGACGAGGGACATGCCTCCGTGGACATCCACGGATCCCCAGATCCCACCGTCACCCCGAAAACGCACACCGACCACCACAAGCACCGCCACGACCCAGAGCCTCTCCACGGCACGAAGAGGTCGACCCCTCTCCTGGGTCTGAAGGCGCTCATTTCTGGTGCCAACTTCAGCTCTGAGGATCGCTGAACAGCCCCACGGCCCGGCCCAGGTTGGCTGGAACCAGACCCGCTTAAGCCAAACGAAGGAGCGGAGAAATTAAGGAGGAGGATCCGGCGGTGATTGTGGACACAGGCGGCGCAGCTAGAAAACCATCGGCCGTGACAAAGAAGGGAGACCGACGAGAGAGGGCAAAAATATGCGGAGACAAAAACAGATAAATCGGGGCGCAAGAACGGGTCCTCCACCGTCCGCCGTCACTCAGCCAGTCAGTCAAATCACACTGACGGGTGTGTGTCAGGCGCCCCCCTCCTCTCTCTCTCTCTCTCTCAGCTGACATGCAGGGACCGGTGCATCCTTACCACAGGGTGACTGGGCTGCTGGTGGATGCGAGGCAGATGATGAGGAGGAGAGAGGACGGTACCCAGCAGCAGCTGCCAGCGCTAAAGCAGACCATTTAGAAAACGTGATACCTCATTCATCCTCCTCAGGGAAGCGCTCTTTGCTGTGCGTACAAAATAAATGTCTGGGAGGAGATAAAAAAAAAAGAGGGTCAGGTGTGGAGGTTTGACAAGCTTTCGCCTCTGGGTTTGTGCACGACGTGTTAATGTCCTTGTCTGACAGTCAGTCTCAGAGAGACAGGAGGAGGAGGAGGAGGAGAGCGAGCGGAGGGTGTTGGAATAAGGGTTATTCGATTTATCTGATAACTAGCCTCAGATTACGGTCCTAAGTGTTGGATCTAATTAACACAATCATTCCCATCACCACTGTCGTTGTCTTAATAAGTAATAATCATTAGCTGGGTTTTTATAGGTGTTTGGTAGTCCTGTATGGACTTAGAATGGGAAGGCGATGAGTGTCATAGTTCCAACGGGGTATTATTGAGGCCTGTTTGATTTGATCAGAGTGAGTGAGTAGAGGCCTGTGTAGTGGTTGTAGTATTTTAAATCCAATAGGCAAATAGTAACTGGACCTGAAGGTGAAGTATGCAGCAATTGTGAACGTTAAACTGCAGGCACAGTAGGTGGCGCTAGTGCATCTCATAGGATGCAATTCAAACAAATTACTAACAACTAACAATGAGGAAAGCACAGGCTTAGCCGAGACTCGTAAAAGAATGTGCATTATAGGTTATACAAAAACATTTTTCCAACATTGTTTCAGTTTTCCTGACGGCACTGACGGCATAAAAAAGAAAAATTTTCTGTGGTTTATCAGACATTTATTCAGTCTGACAGTAGGAATCTGTCTGCCGTTGTTATACAGCAGTACGATAACCACACACACTACCACACCACTCAACCTGTCTGAATTGAACTACAGAAAGTTCCTACATGTGGGTAAAAGGAAACTGCTAACATTATTAGGCCCAAACAATTTGCCCTCATCAAATCCACACCTGCTTTTCATCTACGTCTCCTTGTTAAAATCAAGACAGACCTAACAGAACACGACGGCTGGGTTAGTGTTACAGTCCAAGTCACTGAAGAAATATCTGACTCAAGTCTGAGTTTAGCCTAGTGGGATTTAAAACTAAGTCACCGGAGAAAAGATAAGTTCCTGTGATTTCAGGATGTGATTTTTTGTCAGAAAAAATAATAATAATTGGACATATTCCCGGTCACGTCCCTAGGGCTAAGAGTTTGAGCTTCAACATCTCAATACTGAGTGGAGTCACAAATTCTGCACTCAAGTTAAACAGCAACCTCAAACAAGGTTATAACTTATCTGCCCCACTGGCATTTGTGGACTGATGTCAGGTGCAGTGATGTGTTGCACACGGAGGAAGTGGGAGACAACGTGGAAGCAAACACCAATCACTGTGTCTATGTACCAGACTAAGCACCGCTTTATTAAATCATTAGACCATATTTCATAATCATATATGGCTCACAGCCAAAAGCTGACTTGAATCAATAGGCAGTCGTCTCAGAATATAAGCTATATGTCTGCAAGCCCTCACTGGAGTGTTACGTACTGTAGGTGCCGTACTGCTGTTAGTGATGTGTCGTTCGCGAGTGATTCGTTCAAAATGAACGAATCTTTCATATGAGTCGTGACTCCCAAGTCATATGAAAGATTCGTGACTCGTGACTACCGAGTCATATTAAATATTTATTCATATTGAACTCACGAATCACTCACAAATCACTCACTGCAAACTAATCACACTCTGCGAACTAATCACTCACTGCGAACAAATCACTCTCTGCTAACTAATCTTTCACTGTGAACTAATCTTTCATTGCAAACGAATCACTGTGAACTAATCTTTCCCCGTGAACTAATCTTTTGCTGTGAACGAATCACTCTCTGTGAACTAATCTTTTGCTGTGAACTAATCTTTCGCTGTGAACGAATCATTCTCTGTGAACTAATCTTTCGCCGTGAACTAATCTTTTGCTGTGAACGAATCACTCTCTGTGAACTAATCTTTTGCTGTGAACTAATCTTTCGCTGTGAACGAATCATTCTCTGTGAACTAATCTTTCTCTTCACATTGTGGTGTGTTTTTATTTCTTAGCTTTTCACATGGTTTTAATTACTTATGGCATTTTGTGTACTTTGTAGACTTTGTCAGCGGAAGCAAACCATGTTGCCTTATTTAGTGTCGGAGAACCGCAGCCTTCTTTACAACGCCCACAATAGGGCTAAAGCGCCACCTGCTGTAAAACGAATGAAATGATTAGTTCAAGATTCGTTCACGACTAGTTAATTTTACTGTTCGAGAGTCAAAGATTCGAATCAATAAAAAGAGTCGGTCTTCCCATCACTACTTAATGTACTGTATGTCTGATAGTGATGCGTCGTTCGCGAGTGATTCGTTCAAAATTAATGAATCTTTCATATGACTCGTGACTCCCAAGTCATATGAAAGATTTGTTCATATTGAACTCACGAATCACTCACAAATGACTCTCTGCGAACTAATCTTTCACTGTAAACTAATCTTTCACTACGAACGAATTACTCTGCAAACTAATCTTTCACTGTGAACTAATCATTCTCTGTGAACTAATCTTTCGCCTCGTTTTCGCAGATTCGTTTCATTTGTCACGTGAAAGAGAGCTCGGGTCTCTTTTGCTCACATTCATCTTCACATTGTGGTGTGCTTTTATTTCTTAGCTTTTCACATGGTTTTAATTGCTTATGGCATTTTGTGTACTTTGTAGACTTTGTCAGCGGAAGCAAACCATGTTGCCTTCAGTATTTAGTGTCGGAGAACCGCAGCCTTCTTTACAACGCCCACAATAGGGCTAAAGCGCCACCTGCTGTAAAACAAATTCAATGATTAGTTCAAGTTAGTTCATTTTACTGTTCTAGAGTCAAAGAATCGAATCAATAAAAACAGTCGGTCTTCCCATCACTAATGTCTGACACGAGAGAAGAGCGGCCTCTCACCGCTGCATCGCACAGAACCACGCCCCTCAATTTCCGCCTATAAGTTGGTGAACCACGGCCTGTGCGAGCGGCAACATCCTTTGCTCGTATGATGTTGCACTGACGCAGAGGCGGTGCGCTGAATAAAGGAGTGTAATTATGAGCCCTTTGTCTGTGTCTGAACCAATCTGGGGCCGTGCACGTTCCGAACAGAACAGCGTGGGCGTGCTAATTAAAATATTGTCTCAAAAACAAAATTAAACTCTATCTCTTTAAAAAAAAAAATACGACGGAGGTTGCGACCTTACAACATTGATTTTACTCATTTCGCTAAAGTTATAATTTTATTTAAGCCGTGGAAAGAGACTGAAGTGATCGTTTTTCCAAAGTACAACACTAGTACCATGCAAAATCAAAATTAAACTTCCCGCTCCTCAGCCATCCCGATCCAGAGCACCTAATTATTTGGTAGACTGTAAATTTAACTCAGCTGATTATTAATAGAGTCATAAAAACTAGTGTCATTTCAATTCAATTATTTCAGTGAACTGCTGGTTTATTGTCAATGTGTTAATTGGTGTTCTGTTTCTTTGACTCCGGAGAGCACTAGCGGCTTTTATCACTTTTTGTCGTGTAGTATTATATTCACTTTAATTATTACCTTACTCTGTTACATTAAGATTTGAAATTACAAATGTCCATTTGATTACCATGGAATAACAACAAGATCTGTACGCGCATCGCCTAAAACACAACCATTTTGTTTTGCATTCACGCCTATTTTGCTTAACAAACACTACTGCATCAAATCTACCTGTCATTGAATTCTAACGACCAGACGTGACATCAGAGTGGTCTGTTTGAAGCCCTGCACACTAGCACTCTATACTAGAGACAAATTATCCATTGCCGCCCTCTAGTGGCAGCTGATGTGTCCTTGAACCAGAGGTGCCCAATAAGTAGATCTGGATTTACCAGTAGATCTCAATAGGCCGTAGGGTGAACCACGAAAAGTCTTTCAGAAATTGAGTTTCACTCCGAGGTCTGCGAACCACACAATCTTTAGTTCATAAAAAAGGAGTTATGTTAAGCTTAAAGCAAAATGTTTGTCGCAAAAGATCCTGCCCATTTTTATAACGAGGCATTTTATACAGAACTAGCGTCTTCAGGGCGCAATAAGATTTTGGTGCGAGAGGTGGCACGGTCGACAAGTGACCACACCAATAGGGTAGCAGCTTTTGGTAAACAGAAAAGCAAGATGGCTGTCTGCGGAGTTTTATCTAGCAGTACCGAAGAAGAGGAAATCATCATCATCAGGACATAACCAGTGCTGTATGCACATAGCCTCTGTGAAACACGAAAACATTCAGGATTTCACACTTGCATGGTGGAATACTTACAAGAAAAGTCTACAACAGTGGCTCGGGTTGAGGGGTGAGTGTCGATACATAGCTGAAAACTACAAACACTGCCTGGATTTGGAGTTTGAAAGCATTCCCGAGAACGCTGCTTTCCATCCCACATGCTACCGGAGGTGTATTGACAAGAGTGCAATTGCAAAACTGAAAAGGCGTCTTGAGTGTGTGTGAGAGAGAGGAGAGGATACAGAAGACCACTCAAGAAGTGAGGCCATCCCATCAACATCGAACAGGACGACACCGAGTCACAC